TTTACATAAATACCTAGCAAGGTAGGTACCACCTAGACAGAACGTATTCATCAAAACATCTAGCTGAGGCTTAAATTCTTCCTACAAATTTCCTGCCATTCAGTTATTCATCCTACATTTTTTACATCTTCTGTGATGAAAAATGCACCATCTTTCAAAATAACTCCTTCTATGCCTGGATATTATTTTTTTCTTATGGTTCAAGAAATCTGATTCCATGGAGTAAACTCCATATTTCTCCCATGTTATCTTTTGGGGGGGTAATTATTTTAATTCCAAATGTGTGACCCAACCCTGGGATAGAAAGATAAATCACGAGTTTGCATCCCAGAAAGACTTACATATAAATCTTACCTTCCACTTCTTAGCTGCATAAATCCTGGCAATACCCACCCTTGGAATCTTAAGTGTTTCATCTGTAAAATGTATATAGTAATTCCTACCTTGCAGCATGTGGTAATGATTAATATAGATAATGCATATACAGTTTGCATCATAGTGCCAATGATATAATACCTGGACCAATCTATGTCCTCCAAGAAGCCAAGAGGTAATTACATATACATTAGTGTTACTAAATGGACATACTTGTAAGGAAAAACATGGATACATGAGAGGAAGGTGGGAGAGATGTCAGACTGTGATACAGGTACAGTCGAGATACAAGGAAAGACAGTTGGGTGCAACCAGCTGAGGTGTGGTTCTGGGAGAGGTTGGCAAGGATGCCAGGGAACCCTTCAGCCAGCCTGTCTTAGAAAGAGGCAGGTTGTAGACTGCACTGCAGCTCCTGTAGCTTTAGTTGAGTTCAGGACCTCACCTGGCCTTAAGCCTCTCCCTCCTCCACTATTCATTCTGAATTTCCTTCATCTGTCAACTCGGCAGATCACTGTAGCTTAACTGGTCATCGGAATCAATCCTTAATTCTCAGGTAAACATTTCCAGGACAGTTGTTATAAAGGAATAGCAAGATGGCCCCAAGTGTATGCTCTGGGTTCCACACGTGTTCCTCCCTGCCCCGACTGTGAAAGCAGCTCAAATGCCTCCCACTGCTCCATGTCAGTTACCTTTGCCATCACGGTGACTCCCCTTCTCTTCTGCTTGTACCTGGACACAAGTAGTCCAGGTACCCGATGGCAGCCATAGCTGCTAACTCAGTGGAACCCTTACTGTGTCTTCTGGTAGGAGTCACTGGGAACAGTATACAGTATAGAAGTTTCTGATTTAATATATATACTGCATCCCAAATAATGGTACTCCTTTCAGAGTGTTGCCTCCAAGTTAGTATTTCAGCTTTGCCTTTCAAAAGCCTTCTCACGTTCTGTGAAGCTAACTGGTTCTGGATGATGAACGATACAGTGGTTGCCAGAACCAGCTTGTACAAGGTAGCACATTTTTAGACCATTTCTACCTGAATGAGATTATGCTGATAGCTTGCCATTCATAGGAAGGGAGTATTTATATCACATAAATGAGAAAATGTTACAAACCTGTTTCCCCAGAGGAAGAGCCAGGTGTTAAATATCTACCAGGACATCACTGGGTATGTGATACTCACATATCCTTCACTCTGAAGTGGGTATACCGCCTTGCTGTGTGATGTGCTAGTCAAGATTCTGTGTTTGTGGATAAATATTACAAACTTGTAATGTCGGTTGAGGCCCTGTGAGCAGCAAAAGCAAACTGTACTCAAAGTAGGTACTGAAAAGAAGCACCCACTGGTTGTTACATGAGGGAAAGGGCCCAGTAGAATCAAGTTGCCACCAAGTGAATAGTGCCATACTGAACACTCGGTGCTGCTGTTTTTTGTATTTAAAGAGGCAGCATTCTTTTTTCTTTTTCAAATGTTTTTATTGTTTTGTGTTTTTTTTTTTTTTTTAAAGAGAGAGAGAGAGACAGACAGAAACATCAGTGTGAGAGAGAAACATTGATTGGCTGCCTTCTGCAATCCCCCTACTGGGGATTGAGCCCACAACCCAGACATTCCCTTGACTGGGAATCCAACTGGGACCTCTCAGTTTGTGGGCCGATGCTCAATCCACTGAGTATTCTTTAAACTGTGTTTAGGCTATGTATTTGCATGTCAATGTTAAAAAATGCAGAGCTTCTTGTATTTCATATATAGCACCTCTAACATGGTTCCAAGACTGTCTATAAAATTTCTGGTTGTCCTTTTAATTCCTTTCCTTTCTTTCCTTTGTTCATCTCAACCACCTAGATTAACAAATTAATAGTAATAGCAAAGTCAGTTGAGATTAGGATATATTTAGTTATACATTATAAGTTCTATGGTAAAATAAACAGCCTAAACTGTGCTTTGATAGATTTTTAGCATTTCGTAAACCATCAGAGTACTAATGCCATTCATTTCTCCCCAACTATTAAGAATATAATAGGTAAAAATGAAAAAGTTAATTTTCAGATGTCCAACAATAAATCTAAAGTTATAGTTCTAAATCAATTTTAAACATAAATTATAAAGATGAATTTAGAATTAAATTCAATGGCATAACTATCTGGTCCAAGTCTAAATTAATTTAGGAGACAGTGCATTTTATTTCTATATATAAATTTACATGAAAATAAAGCTGATTAAGCAATATATTCTGGAAATAACCATAGATCAAATAACATTAATTTCCTTTAAAACTAAAGAGTTTGTTTACTTTGTTAATTTCATAGTCACATATGAAAGAATAGCCGCTCAATGAAGTAAAGAAGATATTTTTAAAAAATAGGTGCTAAAGAACAAAATAGACTTAATTGATAGCAGCTTTGGGAGAAAGCATATGATAGGATAAACCAGGTTGTAAGTAAATAAGGATCACTGTTTTTACTGCATGGTAAATATTTTATAGTATAAATTATATTAAGACATATAATTTCGGCACATAAATGTTATTAAAGAAAACCACTGTCCTCATCGGCAATGGGAGTCTTATTTATAAGCAAGTTAATAAATAAATGAACTTAAATTAATATATATGTGCAAATGGTACTTTTTATTCTTTATTATTTATTTATTTAATATCACCAGTGGGAATAACATTTCCTCCAACTTATTTAAAATTTTTACTTTTTCTTTTATGAGTTTTAGGTTACTGTCTATTTCTCGTGTATCTACTTTCTTATTTTATTTCTCAATATGCATAAGCTTTAAATACATTAGATATGTTAATCATGTTAGTTTTTGTAATATTTTCTACTACAGTTTGCATTTTAATTTTTTTTTATTGTTTTTGAGTTGCTAACTAAGGTGACTCCCAGGCATAGACAGTGCCTGGCTCATGATGATTCAACTTACAATTTTCAACTTTACGATGGAGCAAAAGCAATACACATAATAAATTACACGAGATATTCAACACTTCATTATAAAATGGACTTTGTGCTAGATGAGTTTGACCAACTATGGGCTAATGTAAGTGTTCTAAGCAGGTTTAAGGTAGGCTAGGCTAAGCTATGATGTTCCATATATTAGGTGTATTAAATGCATTTTTGACTCATATATTTTCAATTTACAATGAGTTTATTGGGACAAAATTCCAACATAAGTAGAGGAGCATTTGTATTTTGCTTATTGTTAGTCAATATTTATTTAACCATTTGTTTTTAGAGTCTTCAACTACTTTTTATTTCTCTGCCTGAACTTAACTATTGATGCCTCTCAGAAACATTGATTTTATTCCTTTCCCAAGACAATGTAAACTGTACCCTACTTCAGGCTGTGATCAAGTGCTGATCACCCTCACGCTTGTATTATCTGCCCCAACATTTCCTGTGCTCTAGTCGGATTTCTGCAAATGGTCATGGAAGTGTTCCTTACTCGCCTCAAACAAAACAAGTCCGAATTGCACTGTCAACACTCGCTACCCCATTATGTACTTACCTCAGGTTAATAATAACAATCATCTGCTGTGATAGGCCGGAACTTGCTTATCTCAGATGCCTTCTCCCTCTCCCCTCAAACCCCTTCGTCGTGTTCCTGAAATCTGCTATTTCGTCCTGCTCCCCTCTGCCGCTGATCTTGTTCACACGTCTGTTTCGTTCTCATAGAGAGACTGGTTTCTTTCCAGTCATTCAAATTATCTTTGTAAATTTTCTGTTCTAATCATTATATTTTTTCTATTTGTCAGATCAAATCTAAAACCTTTATGAAAAAAATGTGGTTAATTTTCAATGTTAAGGAAATATTTTAAGAAATACAGTTATTATTGGTATTTGGTATCAAACATTTGATTTTTAATAATTGAATAAAACCCGTATTATTATATTCAGTAGCATAAATACATCTTTGCTGGAGTTAGACATGTTGGCAGCAGCAACATTACAAATGTTTTTGATAAAATAATCTCACAATTAAGTTATTCATACATGTGGTTACATTTGAAATCAGTGATGTTTGTAATGCCTCTGCTACTAGATAATTATTCTAAATTCCTGACAGAAATCAGTAGATGATAATAAACAGCAAGACCCAGACATTATTAAATGATACATGAGATAGTTATACTAATTCAGCCTTTGACTTATCCATCATTTACCATCCAAAACTCTCTTTTGAAATAAAATTGCAGTTTTATTACTTTTAAAAATTGTGGTTCTGCTCATAATTTTTCATTAAAAAGACATTAACTTTTCAGAGAAATCACAAGAAGATTTAATCTCCATTTGATTCCAGAATTCAAAGATAAATAAAACATGAACTGCTTGTTTTCGTCAATTAATTTTACAAATAACCCTTCATCAAGATCTTAGGTTAAAATGATTACCATTTCTTTTCCTTATAATATGTGAAGAAAGCCTCTCTTTCTACATTGTGATAGTATATTTATTTCTTTATGTTCGTTTATTTGACAGCAAATGGAAGTAATTGGGTATTTTAAGATAGTGAACCGGGTCGTTATTGCCAGGGTAAGTGTTAGAAAGGATGAAAGGTAGACGGGGGAAGTCTCTTTACTAAATGTGTGGCATTGGGACTGGTTCTGTTTTGCTTCCCGCAGGTGATTAAAGCAGTAGAGGAAGGCTACCGTCTGCCCAGCCCCATGGACTGCCCTGCTGCACTCTACCAGTTAATGCTGGATTGCTGGCAGAAAGATCGAAACAGCAGGCCCAAGTTTGATGAAATCGTGAACATGCTGGACAAGCTGATACGTAACCCAAGTAGCTTGAAGACGCTGGTTAATGCATCGAGCAGGTACAGGCCAGACCAGAGAGATCTTCCTACGTTTAGTTAGTTCAGTTTGATGCCACAAATATTAAATCAATTAAGTCGGTCTGTACACATGTTAGCTTCTAAATCTATATGACACTAATTAATTTCACTGTAGTTTTTCCATAAGGTTACTCTCTTAACAATGAATGAAATATAAATGCTTATACTTAAAAGCACTTATAGATCCTTGGCCCATGGACTAAAGAGTTGGGGGTTCAATTTCGGTCAAGGGCAAGTACCTGGGTTGCAATTCAATCCCTGACCCTGATCGGGTTCTTGCAAGAGGCAAACAATCAATGTGTCTTTCTCACATCGATGTTTTTTTCTCTCTCTCTCCCTTCCTCTCACTCTATTTGAAGATAAGTGGAAAATATCCTCGGTGAGGATTAAAAAAAAGAAAAAAAACAAGTACCTATAAATAGTGTAAATACTTGTTTCTGAAAAATGTTAAGTATGGCCAGGTTTAGATAATATTAAAAAATAATGATAACATACTTAAATACATGTATTTTCATGTGTTTTGGATCCCACATAGGTGTGGATGGGAGAAAAATAAGATTTTAAGACCATAGGGAAAAGCCAATTAAGCACTGATATATTATTCTAAACTAGAGATATCTACCAATAATCACTTTGATTGCTTTAGCATAGATTTTAGTGTCTTTCATATTTTATGAATATTGACAACCAAATATGAGTACTTTCGTGGAAAGATTTTTATGAACAAATAAGTGTATTTTTTACTTTTATGAATGTATTTAAATACTGTTGCATGTTTGTAAGCATACTTTACTCTTTAACCTGAAAAATTACAGAACTATTCTCTAAAAATTAAATCATTTTGATTCTTTATATTTGAGGTAATTGTTTATTTTTATAAGAAATAAAGTCTTATGCCAGGAACTGAATTGGCCACATATTAGCATGAGCTAAATGAGAAACAATTTGTTGATGAAGTTATATAAGTTCTATAATTCTGACATAACATTTGTTTACTAGGCAAAAAATCATTTTTAAATACAAATGAGGAATGAATCGTCAAACTCTGTTCAGGGATCATTAACTTTGTTTGGCAGCAACTGGAGAATACATCTTCTTAGCAATTATTCCTTATGTTGTTCCTGAAATATCTGCTTGTAAATTGTTTATTATCATGTAAAATATTAAGCACTTCTCTCATCTACTTGTTTGAGTTATATTAATCTGTCACAAATGGACATAAAGAAAGGAAATCAAAACAGACATTTTTATGTTCTAAATTGTGTTACTTTATATCAGTGCCATTGTTATAGCTTGAGAGCTGTGTGCAATATGTAGAATCAGCTTGCCAGGTTTCATCTGAATAGATAAGACGTACTACCCTCCTTTGTCCAGCCATCTACAAATCCTGACTCTAGAAGGTGTTCGTTCCTGATTAATTCCCTGTCCCTGTCTTCCTATCCATGTCACAAAACTTGGCGATTTTAGTAACCATATAGAGGATGTTTGAATCTCTCTCAATACCTTGAAATTTTCTCCTTGGGAGATTTCGATCTCTAAAATACCTGGCATCTTCTTGTCAAGGTCATATTCTGAACTTTGCTATTAACGAAAAATGCAACTCCTCCCCAGTCTCACTTTCCAGATCCTACTCTCCAGCTGTTTCCTCCTATATTTCATCTTCAAGGAGTCTTTGACCCAAATGCTGAATGGCTACCAATCACTACAAGATATCCATTTACTCATGCAACAAAACCTCTGTGTCTACTTTGTCACACTGTGGGCTAGGTGCTGAGTATACAAGCATTGAGCAACACAGATTGCGGGAAAAAGATACTGAACAAAATAAAAACATTAAAAAGCTACTTTGGTTTGGGAATGAGGAGTGAGAATGCACTTTAGGAGGATCACCTGGAGGCTAGAGCAGTTGTGTAGGTAAGACACGATGATGCCTTGAACTAAGATGATAACAAATGAGAAAAAAGAAAGAAGTGGTCAGATGTGCAATATATGAGAGGTAGAACGGACAGTATGCACAATGATAGATTGTGAAGGAGTTGAAGATAGGGAGGGAGCAAACTGTTGTAGCATATATTGTAATGGGAGTACTTCAGGAGAAATTGGATGTAAAAAAAGATGAGCATGATTTTGGAAATGTTGGAGTGTTATTTATGAGAAATATACAGGTATGATGTAGGCACATGAATATATGAGAGACCCAGATGGGAGATAAATACTGGGTAATAATAGATGCTATTTGAAGCAAGAAATTGGGTAAAATTGTCTAAGAGTGGAGTTATAGCCTAAGCAGAAAAGACATAGGGAGAAGTCCTAGTGTCCTCCAAATTTTAAAGTAGGGAAATGAAGGAATAACAGGCAAAAGAGAGTAAGAACAAACCAAGGAAGTTCAATATCATGGTAGCCAAGAAAGAGAGAATAGTGATTCAGTAAGTGTTGAGATAAGGTAGGATTTCAAGAGAGAAATGAGAGTGGTGGTTATTGGATGTTTCTGAGAGGTCAGTCATCTTACAGGTTGGAAAATGTTCACAGATTTTTGGCAAATAGAGGTCATTGCTCACCTCAGCCACAGCAATTTTTATAAAGGAAGACATTATCCTGGAGTAGTGTGTAGTGTAAATGGGATGTGACAAAGTGCAGAGAACATGAGTAGCAAGAAAGATATCCTATATCTTATGGTTGAAATTTACTTAAATAAATACCCATTGATGGACATTTTTAATGTTTACTCTCAATAGCAAAAACAAACAAACAAACAAAAAAATCCAAAAAACTGTACATGTACTCTTTACCATTTCTCCCAATTATTTCCTTAAGAGACATTTTCAAAAATTATTAGCATCATAATCATCATCATATTATTATTGGCCAAAGAGAATGAATTTAGTATAGTCAAAAACAGCTCATAGTTTGATTGGTCCTATTTAGTTATCTTATGTGTTTGGGGTTACATTTTGTTTTCCAGGTTCTACTACTCCTAGGGTTATTTACAAGTGCACCTACATGAGAGAATAAGATAAAGAATAAGTTTTAGGCTTCCTAAGAAATTAAGTTAAGTTAGCACAAGTTTCTCTAGCAAAGTTTAGAAGCTTTGCCCAAATTATCCTGCATATCTATATTTGGTAGCAGTTTCTATATTATTTTTTGTAAACAAAACATTAGAAAATAAATACATCTAAATTATTACTTGAAAATTTTAGCTCATGTTTTCTGTTAAGAAATTTATCAAGCCATTATAATTCCTCATAAACTGTCGATAGGAAAACATCTGAATAGACTAATTTTTGTGTTCTGTATTTCAAAATATTTTCTTCCCCATTTGCATTTATATCTTTTCCCCATTAATATACGTACAGACCCAAAGATCCATTGACTCTGAGCTAATATTGCACTGTAATTTGTTATAAAAGTTAAAATGTTACTTTTAATATTTGTGTTTTATGTGTTTTAGAGTATCTAATTTATTGGCAGAACATGGCCCACTGGGATCTGGGGCCTACAGATCAGTAGGTGAATGGCTAGAAGCCATCAAAATGGGCCGGTATACAGAGATTTTCATGGAAAATGGATACAGTTCAATGGACGCTGTGGCTCAGGTGACCTTGGAGTGAGTAATTTTTCTGATAATTTTTACATAATTGCTGGGGCGAGAAAATTTTTTCAGAACCCAATGTGGATGAGGTCAAGGGAAATCAATTCACTGTTGTCCATGTGGGGCAGCTTTCAAAGAAGCCTCTTCCTTTTAGCCTGTATTGTTAACAACTGCATGGTTACGCTACTTGTGGCCAGTATTTTTTGCTTCTTTGCAGCAAACGAATAGCATTTGAATATTTGAATTCTTGGAATAACAGTTCTTTGGCAAAATACTGGTATTTTATGTTGTGGAAAAGATGTTTTCTTGACAAAGTTTTTATACTGGTACCTGTGTTATATGAATGTACATACGAAACAAATGTAAGCACAATTGGTATGACTAGTCCTACATAACAGCAAAACATACTTAAAGTTCAGCTGTAATGAATTCCCAGGAAACAGCAGCTGAAACAAAGTTCCCAGGCAAGGATCTCATTAAATCTCTAAGTGGTGCACCTTATATTCTTGCAGTCCAAGAATATATTAGATCCTGCTTCTGATTTGTGATTTGGTACAATCTCAGTGGAACCAATTGTGCCCTTTTCTGTTTGCACGTTTAAGATAAAACTTATCAAATCTTACTGAATAAAAATCACTAGAGTTAAATATTAAATTCCTTAAGGTTGTAAGTTGTTTGTATTTTACTATATACTCTGTATGTGCAATTATTTTAGCCTAATATTTGTTATTTGTGAAACTCAACTGTCATTATGGTGACTCCATCTAGATACATAAATATGAATAATGTTTTAACCTGTGAATATCATGATAAGCTACTTCCAAGTACCTACAAATTCAAAGGTTAAAATATTGTCATAAGGATTGGAACATGGTAGAACATTCTAAAGCAGTAAGCCATGGTCCATATTCCATCACTTTACATAATATGAGCACTGAGTAGTTCTCTTTCACCGTTTGTAGTCTTTGGGCGTTCTTTGATTCATTGAATCCACTGCACATCCACAAGAAAGGTAACAGGGTACTATCATTTATCACCAATTAATAGCACATTCTCAACATTTCTCTTTCATTATACCTATAACTGAAAGGACCTGAGATCACCACTCAGCTTGCTCTCATAATTTATTGAATCTTATTCTCACTGTCACCACCAAATCATATCTATTTGATGACACATTTTCTTGGCCCATTATTTCTTTGGACACTCAAAGAGTTCATTTGTGCTATATTTAAAATAGTAAACAGAAAATTTTACTGATAATTTAAAACTATTTTTACATGATTGCTATTTAATTTTTCAGTAAAAATGGTCATTTTAATTTACTAAAGTCATTTGTCATTTTATATTAAAATGATACTGTAGGTATTTCTTCTACCCAATGTCAGATTACTTGTAAATATATAATAAAATTATTTGCATTAAACAATGTCTCTTTTTTTATTTAAATAGCACGTATATGTAGATAGTCATATCTATTACCTTTTAGCTTTTCCTTTCATAGAATAGTTATAACCACAAATAATTATTTTTATACTACTTGTTTTACTTTGTCTCATTGGGGCCCCAAAATACTATAATCATGTTTAATATTTTATCATTATGGTTTCACATTTTCTTATTTCTTTTCATTCTTTTCTCTTTACTTTCCTACACCCAAACTGTCCTCATTTTGTATGTTTCTTTTAAGCCCTAACAGCTTCTTCTATCTTCTTATAATGGTTCTCCACTTCATTTGTAATCTCCAGTAATTTTTTAAGTTAATGAACTATGTTTCAATTTTTTTATTTATCTTTATTGTAGAGAGTATTACAGATGTCTCTCCGTCCCCCCCACCCCTCGTGACCCCCCTCTACCTTGCTTGTGCCCTTCACCACACTATTATCTGTGTCCATTGGTTATGCATTTACCCTTGTAAGTTCTTTGGTTGTCTCTTCCTGCCTCCCCTCCCCCCTTTCCTCTGAGATTCTTTAGTCTGTTCCCTGCTTCCATGTCTCTGGATTTATTTGTCTCCTCAGTTTATTTGTTCATTAGATTTTACATATAAGTGAGATCATGTGATTTTTGTTCTTCTCTGACTGACTTGTTTCACTTAGCATAATAAGTCATAATGGTCCAGGTCCAGTCATTTTTGTTGGTCAGTTTTTCTCTACTTGGTTCAAATTCTTCTCTGTATTACTTTGGTAGCTCCTTGCCTCTTGTTATAGTACCTCCATCAGATATTTTTTTGTCTTTTAATTTCTTTACTCTGACCAGAAGAATAAGGTGAAATTAGAAGTTGTACGGACATCTTGCTGCTCAGAGAAGGTGGCCCTCCATAAGTCAATACTCTGAGCCCTGGGCCCACATGAGCACATTCCTTACTACAAACCAGGTAGCAAAGGTTAACTAACTCCAGCAAAGCTGATTTCTTGGAGAGTCCAGCACCTCTCACTACATGTCTTCTTATTTACTGTCCAGCATCTGTAACTACATGTCCTGTGTTTTGACCTCATTTTTCCTATTTGGTAAGAATGTATTTATCAAGTTTTATGGTAAATAATTCACAAAGTAGTGAGTAATCACTTACGTCTTTGGTCAGAAATATAAAGTATAAGAAAAATATTATCTGTGAATTTTGCTTGCCCTTCACACATACAAAAAAAAATCTGTCGTTATTGACTTATGACAAGGGAACCGGGGTACCAGCTAAAACAAAAACAAGCTTTTAAAACACTTTGGTAATTATTTTTTATACATGGTCTTTACCCATATCTAAATATTAATTTATGAAATATGTATAATATCAATATAACAAAATAAAGTACTATCACCAGTGTTATTGCCAGAATAGAAACTGGGAACTGGAACAATACATTCATACCTGTAATAAATGCTTAGAAAAAAATGTTAAAATCATTGCTATAAAGCAAAAGATCAAATTGCTATATACATAAATTAGAAAAATATGTATAATTTATGCCATCAAATTTGTTCTCATAGTGGATTTAGAAAAAGAAGAGTAAAGAATTAGTTTTTTAGAACCACTCAGGTAAAAACTTTCTTCCTAAAGGTTTAATTGTATTTGTTATAATTGTTTTTGCCAACATATGCAATTATGGCTTAATGTGAAAGGAAATAAAATCTTCAAGATCTTAGAGTGAAAATGTGTTCAACCAAAGAGGCTTTCAACTCTGGGCATTTCTGTCTGCTGCTCTGTGCCTACACCTTGCTGTTCTGCGTACAGTACTCAGACGCGAGTAATTGTTGCAGCAGGAATGGCACCATCTGTACCATGGTGTGTAAATGCAGTGAGTATTGTGGGCAGGGGGAATGTGAGCTTGCTGTGAGTTGCTAATTGAATCCAAAGATTGAATTGAGGACAGTGTTGCAGTTGCTTTTTAAACTTCTTTTCAGATCTATATTATCAATACAGGAAATGAGTACAATCCACTGAATTTAAATATTACACAAATGTGATAAGTTACAGGTGTTCCTGTTCATATCATTTATTAAAATGGGGTCATGAACTACTAAAATGAGTTTCCCAAATCCCAAGCCAAAATTTGTGCACACTAATTCAAATAGATTTCTTAACTTTTCAATAAAATCATTATGCTAATTTTTATACAATTAAAGTATACAAAAAAAGAATACTGACTATAATATTTTTTGTACATAATTAAGCTAAAACTTCTAGTCTAAAATCACAATGTCTGATCCATTGATGGTTATGACCAGACCATGGTTAGCCCTCTCCTGCCAAATGTAAATGTATTTGTCTCATGCTATAGACATATAAATGACTATCAGGATTCTTCTAAATGAGGAGAAAAATCCCAAACATGCAACTGAATGACAAAAAGAATAAACACTGAAATTTAGTGACTATTCATTAATCTGTCTTCTCCCTTCTCCTATCCAGCCAATGTTGATGGTGCTAAGTACCAGTGAAATGACTGAACGGTGTGTAAAGCAGAAGGGAGAAGAATAACTAAGGGAATGAGTCATCCACAATGGATACATTAAATCTTTCATAACCAAGAGTTGCTCCAACATCAACTAGAAACTCTTCTTATTCTCTGTTTTTCATTCTGCCATTTTAGTATCTTAATATTAGTGTTTTTGTTATTCAGTATCATGGGATAATACTTGAAAAATGCAATGGCAAGTCATTGTATTTGCAGCTTTTCTAAAACTAATCATACTTTGTTGACAAAATTCAAATTTTTAAATTTAATAATATTCCCATCATGTTTAAATTTGTAAGCCTATGCTGAAATATAGTTTTCATCATTAGAATTGACTTTGGGTATAACTTAAAATTCCATGGTCATGATAAAATTAGCATAATATTTATAAAGGTGACATACTTAATGCCTGGCTATAAAATTTTCTATAGAGAAAAATGAAATGAGTGAAATAACATATCATGCACTGTTTCTAAACTTTTAAAAAATATAAGAAATAAAGTGTCAACTTTATCAACAAATGTAAAATATTTAATTTTTATCAAATTTCTCTCACATTATTACTGCTAAATTGATCATTAAATATGTACTTTGAGGAGTAAAATGGGAATTGTTAGAAATTACAAAAGTGTGAGATAAAACTACTTAAAAGAAAATAATATATGTAACAATATAGAAATAAAGTTTTTTAACCTTTACTGGAAACATTTCTCTAATACCATTTTAATTATCATTTACAGTATCATTACAAATATTGTCACAGATATCATTATGGAGCATGGAACCAGAGTTTTTCTTATGTTGTTATTTTTAAAGAATGAAGTTATATTTACACACAGTATTACAATAAGTTAAAGCAGTGGAAATAAAAATAAGTCAAACCAGTGATTTGATATCAATTACACAAAACAACCAAGAGTCGGAATATGTAAAACACACACACAAACACACGTGCATAATACATGTATACCCACTTCAATTTACGGTTTTAGTATGGTATATGAAAATCTATGCTTTTTCAGTGGGAAAATCTATAAATTCTTTTTCTTTTAGGTCTTTTAGAACAAAGTAAAATGGTTATTTTCAAAAGCTCATTCCTAATAATTGGATTAGCCATATGACTTATGCAATTTAAGTACATATATTACATCAGTACTTTGTAAACTGGGGTCTATAAAGCATATGATAAAACATGTTTTAGGACTTGGTTTCAAATACTAGTTATTTAAATTCTCTAGGGCAGATTGATTGTTTTAGGTTAAGAAATGTTAGGTTCTTTTTTCCTAACTTAGGTCCAAAATATGCTAGTGAGCACCCATAAACACCCACATCTACAGAAATCTTCATGATTCATAAGTGACATGTGAAAACATGAGAATGTTATTTAGCTTGTAACTGAAATGTCCATGCAGGATAGATTGCATTACCATAGCCTCAGACAAAGAAGCGTGTGTTCAGTTTCCTTTATTAACTATCTTCTTTCTTTTAGAATTTTGGATATTTGATGTGATATCTACCGAGTTCTCATTTTACAGACGAATAAATATTGCATGTAATCTGAAGTACTTTGCTCAAAATCACATCTCAGAGTAATGAGAAATTAAAGAAGTATGAACTTTGGTGTCGGGGTCCCAGTTTTAGTCCTACTTCTGCTACCCACTGGCTGTGTTATCTGGCCAACTAATTTAAATTCTCTAATACTTTGTTTACTCATCTATACAAGGAGATTAGCAACAATTTATTTCATAGGGGTATATAGTTTTCAAACCTATAAGACTAAGACATCTTAATTGTCACCTATTAGATTTGGTGCAGTAGTTCTCAACCAGGGGAGATGTTACCACTCAGGGGACATATGGCAAAGGTGTTGTGGCCACTCCGTTGTTTAGCAGGGAGAGGCCAGGGATGCTGCTTGACAGTCTCAATGCACATGATAGCCCCTACAACAAAGAACTGTTCAGCCCGTAATGTTAACAGGGCAAGGCTGAGAAACTCTGATTTATTTTAAAGAAACAAGATTAAACAAAAACCTCTTTTATTTCTGTTAGTCTGTAATGAGCCATGATGTATTCTATTTCATAGCTAACAATAGTGATTTTGTGTCAGAGTGAATTTTTACTGGTTTTTAAGTTTGCTGATGATTGTCCTCCATGCCTACCACGATTATGAGTTTTATATTGTATTCTGGTGTCTTGTAGCTATGATCATTTCTAAGGTTAATGTTTAATAGTCACATTCTAAGAAATGTGTTGCCACTATAAGTATCAATTGTTTCTTCTTTAGCTCCTTGTAATTTTCTAAATCTCTCATGAGAAATTCTTTCAAAAAAAGGAGAAAAGGAAACCTAATACATTATTTAACTAAGCAATTATTTCCAATACTTGTGCACATGGAGCCTAAGTATCCATGTATTTAAATTCTAATCTCTGATAATTAAGAGATGTTTTTGTATTTCCAAAACTATTCAATTTTATATATAATATATATAATATCATTGTATTCAATTTCATAAACTTCTGAGACAATCTGATTTAGCACATTTACTGAATACAAATATATTCTACTTTTAGCATAATGTGTTCTGTAAAGCAATATCTAAGAAAGCAAACATGACAACTTTGTTAATTAAAAATGTTGAATTGTTCATGGTCCTTTTTTCTTATCATTAATGTTATTTGCCAAACATAAAAGAATCATTATATTTGCCAAATATATACTTTAGGGGATAGAATCTCTAAATATTCTGGGCAATAACATTTTAAAGGCACGGGCACTGGCCTTGAGCTCCATACTATGTCGTTAGTTTTGAAATCGAAACATTTGTAATTTTCTTTTGGATAATAAACTTGTTTAAAAGAAACAGAATGGACAGAGACTTTCTGATAGTGTATAATCTTCAGAATGCTCTAAATGCCAACAGAGCCTAGACATTATATGGCAAAGGAAGAAAACTCTGGTACTTTGGGTTCCATGTAAAAATAAAATATTTGGAAGTTTTATAAAATAAATATCATGGTGACTATCTCCTAAAGATATCTGTTATATAAAATGATTGTACTGACTGATACATTTGAAGACTTTAGTCGTCAATTGCTTAGCTGTGATTTTTCAAAAGTATATCTTATGCTTATTGCTTTTAGCAAAAAATAAAAAGGGCATGTTCACATTGTAGGTCCACATTTTCAAAACTGTTCAATAAAATTGTACCCCTCGATGTACATATTTATTGGTAAGCACGTACGAATTTGTTTTTGCATCATCACTTGGTGCACCAACATAATGATGTTTAAAATATATCATTCTTCATGATAAATAGTTCTTGGACAGCAAACAGATCTTTGAGGTACAATTTTGGAGCCTGCCTTTGAAAATTGGACCCTGTTTGTCTAAATTGGGACTGTAATCAGATTAGTGTCTGTAAAATGTTTGCCTCTTTGCAGCGTGAAATATTGAGGTGTGCTACAAATTGAATCAATACATGCATCCAATGTGTGCTTTCTTCATGCAGGGATTTGAGGCGGCTCGGAGTGACTCTTGTCGGTCACCAGAAGAAGATCATGAACAGCCTTCAAGAAATGAAGGTGCAGCTGGTAAATGGGATGGTGCCATTGTAACTACATTTTAATGTCACTTTGCTGAATTAGTGATCCTGCACTTTGTAAACAAGCCCTGAGATTTATTTTAACAACAAAAGGGGGGGAGGGGAAACTCTGATAACTTTTGTTATCTAAACCTTTGAGAGCATTTCTTTCAGCCACAGAATTTGTAATCAGTGTTTTACTAAAATCTCCTTAGCTTCTTCTCAGTGTCTTCATTTTTTTATGAAACAAATATGACCTCCTTGGAATAACAACCAAGGTTAAAGATTATCTTACAGCAACAAAATCCTTCCCACAACTTCTACAAAATTTTATACATGAGATATAGAACTATACACAGCACCTTTATAGACCGAATTAAGGCAGCACCTTTCAAAACTTCCAAGAATCTCCACAGAAGGGAAAGTTTTATAGTCATTTGTGGACAAACAAAAGCTGCAATTTACTGAAGTTTACTTCAAGTCTTAATTGTCTACATAAGTGTATTGAGCAATATGGTTAGATAATTTCTTATTAGGTAATTTCTTTTGTAATTTTAAAGTGCTGTTACACAGCGTTAAGTTATAGAAACCAGTGTATATACATGTTGCTTGGTCAAGAACAAATGCAATACAGGGTGTATATTTATTTCTTTGTGTTATAAAATTTACTTTTAGTTGCTCTTCTAGAAGCTATTAGGTAATAAATGTGTATATACTGTGCCGTTTGCTGTATACCCAGGAATCAATTTAAAGTTGGCATTTTGTATGTGCTGCACATGTGTGCATTACCATTCCGCTTGCATTTTTAATAGTGTCAATTTTAGCAACACACAGGAGCAGGTGTTCCAGAGTGGCACAGGGATCAGAGAAACAGGGAAGCAGCAAAACAAAATTTAACACAAGCTTGTGTCTGTTTTCCACTCATGTTTCCAAAAGTTCCGGAATCTCTTTATTCACTAACAGGAAATGTCTATGGGATTCAATCCCCTTTGGCTTTTTAAAACCAGTTTGTGATATCAGTGACAATGCATTCTTCTAGCCATTTATCTTGCACCCCTGTAAGAAATTTCACCTTTCTGAGTCCCAGAAAATACCTTGTCAAGCAACGGTGACACCGAAGGGCATGTTTCAGAAGGATGTGGACAGCTTTCACTGTGCAAACCTCTGTTAATGTTGTTAAATCCAGGCACATAGCACCGCGCATTACCCCTAAGTGTTAATCCTTTGTAGCCATTTTCCTTGGAGCTCAGCTCTAGAAATGTTGATACCAAGGCAGCAAAGAAATGACAAATGTATACATTTCCCGCAGTTTTCTCTGTTTCAAGATTTGACATGGTTTACTTTTTGATGGCTGTCTATTCATTTGGAAATTTCATTTTGCATTCCGTTGCATCAAATTGAATTTATTTTGATGAACCAATCCAAAGTATTATTTAATTGGCCTCATTAAAGAATATAAAATATATCCTATGCATATTCTACATATCGTACTTGATAAAGATTGACATTTGTGGTATCAATTATAAAGTTTATTATAATTTGAACAAAACTGAGCTTCTTGGCAAAATAACCATTTTTTGTTGTTGGTGGTGGTGGTGGTGTGTGCCCCTAGTGGGAACCGAACCCGGGACTCTCAGGTCCTCAGGCCGATGCTCCAACTGCTGAGCCAAACTGGCCAGGGTAAAATAACCAGTTTTTTTGTATTACCGCACTTTAGAGAAACCATGGAATGACATGTGATTCAAAAAGCACAGCATTTAAACAAAAGAGAACCTACTCGTGATGGTCAAATCATATATTGGAGTAGGTTGGATTAGTAAAACCCATTGAGAATATACCTGCCTTATACTAAGGGCACGTCCTTTCTCTTTCCCAAGCATGTGTTTTAGTTGAATATTAGCAAATAAAAGAGTAATCTTTTGATGAATAATTTCTTTCTACTATGCCCAACTTTTACTTAGCAGTGATGCTGTGTGTTGCTAAAAAACAAGGACCAAAAAAAAAAAAAAAGGAAAAGTAAAGAAAAAAGTTCTAAACAATTTTTCTAATGATATGTTGAGTTCTCTCTAATTATGGCTACGACTCCTTAGTAGATCTGAAGTGAACTATGGCTCCACATCAGTATGCTTCAAATGTGCACCTATTTGGTAGAATTTTGAGAGAAAATAGAGAGAGGTGGAATTAAAAAGTAGTAGGCATCACCATTATTAAAGACACATTTGTTAATGTCAATAAACATAAAATTAACTAAATGAATTCCCTTTGTACAAAATAATTGGAAAATGTGTTGCACTTCATTTAATTTTATAAAACAACAACAACCAAATCTATGTGATAAAATAACAATAAAGAAACTTCCAAGTAAGAAATAAAAGAGAAACAATCATAAGTTTTAGAGCTGATGGACTAGCCACAATTAGGTACACATAAGAAATACAGTTTCTAAGTTGTTTTCTAGCTTCATATGTTCAAAGATGATTGGAAGGTCAGGATAGAATACATTTAAGTGATTAGAATTCGAACTAACAATGTAGATGTCTTCTTTTTCACAAAAGAACATTATGCATTAATTTGGATCAAATTGATTTGCTTCCTTTGCAATCTTGGTATTCATTCTGGAAAGTAAATTGAGATAAATGTTAAATAGACACATAACTTACATCCGTATCTAATTTTGGTTGAGAATTTCTAAGGAATGTCACTTTGATTTTAGAAAGAATAAAGAGACTTTCAAATAATATGTACTTCCCATAAAGGAGGAAAGAATTCATTTTTTAAAGATTTGTTCACCACTGGATAGATCACCAACTGGGAAGTGCTAACCTCATCTATAAATGTGAGAAGTGGACAGGAGAAAGAAGCAGTTTTGGTGAACTGTAGTGAGGCAAGAAACCCAGGGCAAGGTTTGACAAATCCTGATTGTGTGATTCCTTATCATTTTGGTTCAATTTGTCACCCACCAGACAACCAAAAACAAAACATAGACTCAAGAATTTTACCCAAAAGTTGGATTTGTCAAATGATACATAATGTTTTCGTAACTATCAGTAGCAATATATTTGGGACATGAGTCTTTCTCAATGTTGCTTTGAAAAATAACAACAAGCAGGGAATAATTTTCAACTTACTGATATCTGTTGAAGTCATATAATTACTACTTTTATCAATCAAAATTTTTTTCCTAATCTTGTCATTTGCTCACATGTAAAAATGCCATATAATCAGTTGTCCTTCTTGGCCAGTGAAATGTATGAATTATATGTAAAAATGTATAGACTATCATTTTCTCATTTAAAAAACTTAATGTGTATGGTCTTTTATTTCTTGTATTTTATTCACCAACTCAGTGTTCTGAAATTGTAGGATTGCTGTAAAAATTATATTCCAATATTCTATCTAAACTTAAATATGGCCAACATTACTAGTCTCAGAGTTGTCGAAAGTTAAGAACATCCTTACATCAATTTGTAAAAGAGTTTTAACCAGTGTGCAATGGTGAAGAAATAGTTTCATATCTCAAGTTTAAAAGAAACATTAATATCAGTTGAACACTCCTGTGTTTGCATGTTTGCTATTTAATCTTTATGTGAAAATTAAAGGATTTTTTAACACCGTTCTTCCTCCCATTCAAAGTGGGTTCTCAGAAGCACAAGCAGAAATATTTACCTGTGGAAGACATTTTTGGCTGTAATTGTGGACTGGATAGCAAATGCTATTTGAGTCAGATGTTAGAAATGTACTAGATGTATAATGTTGCATAGTAGAATAAGATCATTTTTTATTTTATTCTTTCTAAAAATTAGAAAAAAAGAAAGCTAAATATGATAGTAAAATGTCTCTGCTTATGTTCTGCCAGATGTTCAACCTCAAAGTAAATAAAAAGTAGGTACAATAAGATGATGAGAATGATAATAAACAATCAAAACACTAGTTTTATCTGAAACTAATAATTGGAATAAGTCATCATTTTTGCAACTATATAACACAGCTGGTTACATTGAATATTTTTCTCTATTATGCTGTTAATTATATAGTAATGTATCAAAGGAAAAGTAGATAAAATCTTTCTTTTCATTTCTTGTTGATTTATGAAAAAGTCTTTGACACATAAATAATTAAATGTTCTTGTTCCGAATGTCCACCTAATTATTGCTTAGAAGAAGAAACCAATTCTTTAAAAAAAAAGTCTATTTATAATAATCAGAATCAAATATCATTTGTCTCTTCTAAATGTAAGTGAAAAAAATGGAAGGTGGCGAAATATGTTTATTAAGGCTGAGCCATATTAACAGTAGAAGTTTCAGTAGTCAACATATTTGTGAATCTTTAGACAGCTATCGTTTTACAATTAATTATTTAAGAGTATGTAAATTTCATTTATAATAGTCTGAGAATAAAACTTAGACTTGCTCATGTATTAAGATGTTTATTAAGATCTCTTAGTTCCAGGCCAAGTGTATCTTAGTTTACGCCAGGCATCAGGGCAACTCCAGTCCCTGCTGCGATGTTAATTCAAGGGAGGATTAGCACTCTGTATGTCCCCCATTGGAAGCTCTGTGGATTTGGTTTGTGTACATGTTTTTGTAGTGTAAGATATGAAATTTTATATTTTTTCAAAAAATAAAAACCCTTTGAACACAGTTAAATCCGACTGTCATGCTTGGCCCACCCCGGGAAGACTAAATTTGCAGCCTTTGTATAATGATTTCTGTTAGTTCTAACAAAAATGTTGAAATTTCTTATGCTAAACATTTTAAACGCAATCAGCATCCATTTCTTCTCAAAGACATGTTTATGTATCTTTGTACTTAGATGTTTTTTGCAAGTAGAGTTTGACACTGAATTTGTGGGATATGAGTATAATTATGTGAAACCTAATTAGTTGATTTGAAACACTGTACTGAAATATTACTTGAAAAAGACAGAAAACTGTGTTTATCATCTGCAGATCTATACCTTCTGCTGACCAGCACTAGCTAGTCATCTTCTTTTTGCCAAGCATCTGCGCATGAAACAGGTTGGAAGAATTGCGTTCTTCCTGGGAAAAGTGCCATTGTTGACAAACGCTCCCAATTCTTCTCTCTGTATTGTGTGATATTGGTCTCCTTTTGTAAAGGGCATAGAAAACAATCTGCTGTATTCAAGAAAATTTATCACATTTGTATTTTGTTGCATTTACATTCTTAAAATTGACATCACATGTCTATGAAAATAATCCATAATTCCT